GGGATCAAGGTCAGAGCCCTGAGGAACGCCGCATGAGACGGTGCAGGGCCTAGGGGAGAAACAAATAGCAAAGGCTTGTGAGTAAACTGGAAATTGCCCTAATCACATTTACTGCACGAGTTCTTCACTTACACTTGCTCCAAACCTTACCCAAGAATCGCTTATGATGGCTTGCAGTTACCAAATCAAGCGTCTTTCCATTCCTAAAAGAAACTGACAGCTGAACAGATGGCGAGTCTTTTCACTTAAAACACGGATAAAACTATTTGACATTCCAATATCAAAATTAGGAAAAAGAGACAAAAACTTATAACCAGCAGGCAAAACAGCGGTACTTTCAAATCCCTCTCAGCCTCATTAACATCAACAAATTAAATGTATTCCCCTGATTAGGAATGCCCTTCAAGGGTAGCTCGTAAGCATTGTCGAGAATGAAATACTTCACTACGGTAAGTCAAACATTGAAGGGTATTTGCTAAGCTTTCGTACCACCCACGGTCCACAAATATTTATTAACATTAAAATTATGCTCATTACTGCAGTTCTGCATTCATCCAACACACCGTCAATGGTTGACTAGCTTGGCACATCAGCAAGACTTGGTGGTGCAGACATCTCCTCATAGTAAATCCAAGACACAGCTGATGGGTGATCAGCCTGACTAACTCATCACTGAGCACTGGAGGGTGTGCATGGCCTAAAGCCTGCGAACCAAAGCCATGACAGTAAGGATGGTCCTCACCAGGTGTACAATGCGAGCAATCACCCGAGGTTATCTGAACTAAGTGTAAAACAATTAAACTCTTCACAAGCCTCCTTGATCAATTCACAGCGTGATCTATAAATCAAACTGGAAGCACAACTAGAATCCGGCGTCAGCTGTGCCTGAGACACCAGGTTTGACAGGAATCTAATGCAGTGTTTAACACTTTTTTTTATCTCTAGCATGAAATAACCAAAACAAATTGCACTGTCCCATAATCAGAGAGGCTGATGCCAAAGTGAGCTTGAAGCTATGCTAGTTGATGGAGAAGGTAACGCTCATTCCTCATGCACTTCATATAGGTACAGATACAGTGAGATTTCATTCGACACAGCAATCTCTTGTGAGGCAGAGGACAAACACAGGCTTGCATATGATCCTTGTTCCTTTGATGAAACATCCCAAACAGCAAGCCATGTTCTTTTGCTGCCACCTCCAACCGGTAAAAGGAAACAGACTAAGTCTTCCACTCGAGAGCGAGTGAACAGAATATAAAGTGGAGCCACAGAGCACGAGGTGTGTCCTTGTAAAGAAGTGAGATGACAGGCAGAGAAATACAGGCAATTTTTTTGCCTGCATAACTCACAGGTAAATTACAGCAGTTTAGAAACAAGCTCTAAAAGAAGGCGGGAGGAATATACTCCCTTTTAACGATCATATTGCTCGTCTCTGACTGAATTGATAGCTCAAAGCATGGCAGTGAAGTCTCCACTGTCCCATTGACAGAAAGACTAACAGATAGACAAGTTCATGCAACATATTAACATTGCCTCTGGCTTAACGACACGCGTTGTGATGTCTTGTTACATTAGTAGTAGCTATATAGAGGTGGCATGTATGTGACATCTTTGTGACATGATAAAGAGTCTGATTAAACAGGACACACAACATGCCCTACTAGCACTGCAAAGCTCTTATTGGCAAGGGCTACTGTAGAAAATTAGCGGGTAGAGTGACAGACTGGTTTTGCTCCAGGTGATTTAGGTTTATTTAAAGCAAATACTTTCCAGAACTTCAGGTGGGACACAGATTGAGCAAATCTGATCAGTTTCAAATTCTCAGCACTGGAAATCTAAACGGCATCAAATACTGTGCGATTCCCCAAAGCCCTGCCAGGAAGCGACATGTCAAAACATCGGGCTTTGCATCCGAGAGCGGAAATTACAAGATTCAATAAAAAAACCTTCAGTTAATTAAAGCAAGGTAGCTATGAGCAGCACTTAGTATTATTGCTATTATTATTAATAATTGATTGTTATTCATATAAATTATTGCGACAATTATATATTTATTAAAATTATTGATAGCCAATTATTATTAAGCCCAAGGATTATTATTTGTCTTATTTTATTAATAGCTGCTGCCCACACTGGCACTTTGAACAAAAATGAAAATGCATCCAGGAGATTTTCATTTTACAGCTTTCTCTGAGACATCCAGTTTCTGAGGCATCAGCACTCCTGTGATAATAATAATCCTTGCATTCAATATAGCGCCTTATCACATCTTTGAGCTTCACAGAATATTCTATAAAGTGAAGTGACTGTATACTTTGTGGGCAAAACTGCTTTTACAAATAATAAATAATAATCCTTGCATTTGATATAGGGCCTTATCACATCTTCGAGACATCTCAAAGCACTTCACAGAACATACTGTAAAGTAAATTAACTGTATATTTTGTGGGAGAAACGCAGCAGCCAATTGTGTACAGCAGCGTCCACAAACACTCGTGGATTGAGTGACCAAATTATTACAACTGCAGGTTTAGTGGATATTTGCTACAGAACTTGCATTGCAAGTCAGGTCTCACTCGTGTGAACATGGCACACTCCTCTACTTGCTCTGCACGAGTTTTGGGAGCGGTGGGTATGAATTGCACCAGGCTCCACTCCCTTGTGGTCTTGTAAAGCTCTCAGCCGGATCCCAATGTACGGCCCTGGTTCTTTAATGGTCTCCTCCCACCCAATACCAGTCTGCTGCAAACGTGCAGAAGAGCAAATGTAGAGAATTGAGTGTGAAATTATCTTTCATAGGAACAGGAGGAGGCCATTCAGCCCACCCATCAAGCCTGTTCAGTGAGTTGATAAGGATCATGGCAGACTGTTCATACACATATTTGCCCACGTTTTCTCCATAGCCTTCATACCCTTATTATTTACTCTTAAAGCATGGTTTAAAGGGTATCAGACACCGGGCTGACCTTTTTTTTTAATCTATCATAAAAGCTACTGAACATAACAGGAATCTGTAAAGGATTTCACTCAGATTTTGAAAACAAAATGTAGTTTTTTTTGTGTCCTGTCGACTACAAATTGACCTACAAACGTAGCTGAATGTATTGCCTCTGTTCCCAAGCTCAGGGGCTCTTAAGTTAAAGGTGGGTAGACTTGGGTGGGCCAAATACTCTCAGGCAGGACTGTGAACCAAGCCAACAATAATAATCAGAAATAAAACACTGCAAATTTGCCTTTAGCGAGGAGGCTGCTCTGAGACTGGGAGTTAGCCCCTGCAGGCAGGGTCACAGATCAGATCTGGCCAATCTGCTTCTTTTACAAACGATGCGGGAGAAACGCGGCAGCCAATTGCGCACAGCAGTGTCCCACAAACAGTCGTGGATTGAGTGACCAAATTATTATTTTATTTGAAGGGATTATTTCCCCCGGAAAGCGATTCACCAGTCGACTAACACCCGGGTCCCCACTTACTGCTGGGTAAAAGATGCATTGGATACTGCATTGGATACTGCAGAAACCACCAAGTGGCTCGCTTCACATTTTACCTCGCTCTTTGTGTGACATCGCTGATTCAAGCTCACTCCCATGTCACATTTTTAACCCACAAGAGAAAGTTTCCCAAAACCATCCACCAACCGCTATCACCCAGTTCCTTTCACGATTAACAGACTGGTCTGACAGCTGTTAAACCCGCACACTTGCAGTCAGTCAAATACGCAGTGTGGGAGACTTGCATTTGTTGGTGATCTGGACAAAACTGGCAACATTAAAGCTTTTGCTTCTCGCTGTCTGTCTGTGGGTAGAAGCCGGTGATGGGTGAGGATGGTTACGGCAACACAACGCAGCATTTGAGTATCTCAATAACAATAACTTATAGCGCCCCTCATGCAGGGTAGAATCCCAGAGCGCTTTAATGCAGGGGTAAGGAGGGGTGAGCAATGGGTCTTGTTTATCACATGTCACCTCCCCCCCCTCACCAGCCCACCCCCCCCCCCCCCCCATCCACAAACAATGTGACTGGCGTTTATTTCCTCGCTACGTGTACAGCACTACTAGTTTTCAGAGTGAAGCGAAACGGATCAAATGCAAAAGAAATCAAACTGGAAACGACGTTACAGTAACCAACAGCCCTGAACTTACTGTGCGCAGAGACTCCAAAAGCAGGTGGAGAGGGAATCCATGTTCAGGTCCAGCTGTTTGGTGAGCTCGCTGCCCAGGCACACAGCCCCACACACCACAACCACAGCACAGGTCTGAGCAGCCACTGCGTTGAGGCAAAACCATTTTGCAAACGTTATTCCTCGCTGTTGTTGGTTGTGATTCGCTTTTTTTTTCTGGGGGGGTTGGGGGGGGTGTTAGGTTAAGACGCACTGCCAAAAAACACCACCACCACGTGTTTGGACCACATCGTTATCCAATGCTTTCCAGTCAGGGAGAGAGCAACACAGTCCCGGTTAGAGCACAACCGAGAGAGAGAGAGAGAGAGAGAGAGGGATCTCCTACACTGGCAGACCACGGTTATGTGCAGTCGCTGAAAGCTAAAGCTATCTCTCTCTCTCTCTCTCTCTCACACACACACACATATACATATCTGCTTTGCTGATTAAATTAAAACTGCCTTGACCTAGAACAGCTCAGCATCTTGCACAGTGGCTGGTCTGTGGACTGAGTTTTACGCACGCTCGCTCGCTCTTTCATTCAGAATTATTTCCCTTAAGGTAGCTAATGTACCAGCTAGTCGGCCCAATAGAACAGATTTATAATTAAAGTGCTGTACTTACTTTTTTATGTATGTATTAAACAAAAATCGCAGGAGAGGACAACACAGGAGGGGATGCTTTATAGCGGAGACATTTTCAGCCCAAGATGACAATTCCTGGTTCTAATACGCCAACCATGAACCGCTCTAATTCCATCATCTACTCTCTCTCTCTCTCTATCTCTCGGTCTCTCTCTGTTTGCCAGATGCCTATTGCTCAGCTAGCGTTCGAGCATCACACTCAGAACACACTAGGGAAACACGTTAACGATCATAAAGTCTGAGAACTAACGACCTGGTGAAATATCACTGGGTATGGCATTTATGAGGTGCTTTCTCTCTCTCTCTCTCTCTCCCGTGCTAAATCTGTGTTGGATTCCCTTCCCCCTTCGCCCATTTATAAATCCAACTGCAAAACAAAATGCCTCAGCCCTTTAACAGATTACGAGAAGATGAATGCCAACCAAACACAGGGAATTTCAGACAGGTTTAAAGTATTGACAAGTATCAGACAGGCACGAAGAGACCCACATATCCACACACATGCACACTGATAAAATACTTCACAGCTTATTGAATCGCAGTGTAAGTTATGGAAAAGGCAGGAAGCCAACAACAGCACATCCTCTCTGTGACAGAGCGTAACCGCGGCTGTATTAATGGGGCACATCTGTCACCCAATGGAGACTTGGGTTTAAACTGCTTTGCAAAGGGCCAGACAATTCAGCCGCGGTTTTCTTTATGCTTTTGTTGTTTGAGCAGACAGACCTGTATGTGTGCCAACATGTTACACAGGGTCAGTTCCATTCAACGTTTACCTTTACTGTTAAACACGTTTCTAAGTGTGTTCATTAGCAAATCGCCTCTGTAAAATATGGAACACTACGCTTCAAGTGACCAAAGGATGAACGGGGGAGGGTGGGGGGAGAAGACGTGAACCACTCCCTTTGAATTTTAATTGTACAACATTTAGCCACAAAACAGTCATTTTTTTCAACAAGCAAAACAGCAACATGTATAAGTTTTGAATTCAACACACCTGGAGGTTCCTGCTCCAGCTTATGCCACACGTGGATAGACCTGAACCGAATTTACTACAGTATTGAGGCTTCGTGTTTTAAGTGAGAAAGAAGAGGATTAGTGGCGACTTTAACGTTCGCTTTCAACTAAACAGACGGCGAATTGTCACCACTTTTAAAGTGATTTGCTAATCTGACAGGGTAGGGTGGCTTTAAGTAGATAAGAGTTAACCTGAATCCACCCTACGGTCTCAATATTAACCCCACTCTCTTGCTCTGAAGGTCTTTTAAGGCTATGGACTCACAATGCCGAAAGCAAAATGAAAAATAATAATAATAACTTTGCATTTGATATAGCGCCTTTCACCTCCTCGTCCACACACCGGAGGAGGATACCAGCACCACTGGAGAGGCAAGAACTTTCCAGGGTGTAGTCAGCATATTACGGTACAGCCTCTCCGAGGTTTGATCAGAAAAGGAATTATTAATACAAAGTCAAGTCTGAAAGTCAGACACACACACAAAACACCACCCAGTGATGATCTCACACCCGACCTCTGCCAACACCGACTGCCTCGGCTGTGTCAGTGTTTTCAGGGCAACATCTGTCTGACACAACAAATGCTCTTGAAGGAGAGTAACCTCCCCTCCCCTTCCCTCTCCCCCCCCCCCCCCCTCCCTCCCTCCCTCCCTCACTCCCTCCCTCCCCCTCCCTCACTCCCTCCCCCTCCCTCACTCCCTCCCGTCGGTACAACTGAACAGAGGCTGAGTCCTTGTCCACAAGTCAACGCTAAATACAACGGTCGAACGCGAGAAAAGGTGTAACAATAAAGACTGTGTGTGTGTGTTTATCAGTGAGTGAGTGAGTGAGTGAGACACTGTGACAAACTCTCTCTCTCTCTCTCTCACCACAGCAAAACCCTCTCAGAACATAACGCCAATCGATTTCATTTTGGGTATTAAAAAAAATAACGAATCCTTTCTTCGCCAAAAGGAAAAAAGAACATTGCGATCCCCAACAAACACAACAAATAACGACAACAAAGCACAACAGAGCCACAGAGGGAGAGAGAGGGAGAGAGAGAGAGAGAGAGAGGGAGAGAGAGAGAGAAAAGGGGGAGAAAAAAACCCCTCAGAGAGGTAACAAGAGGCGCATTCACACCCAGAGATGCATTTGTTCCCGTGAAAGATGTGCCTTTGAACCGCCTCCACTTTAACACACGTCGAAAAGCCTTTCCATCGCCACAAAGACACGAGTAAAAATAAAGAGAAAAGCGAAGCGACTCTCTCACCACAGAATTTGCAGGAAATAATGCGAGTCCCTCTCCCTCTTTTTCCCCCTCTCTCTCTCTCTGTGTGTGTGTGTGTGTGTGTGGGGGGGGGGAGGGGGGGGGTGTGGGGGTGTGGGGGTCTCTCTTACCTGTCATTCTCCGCGCTCCTAAATCCAGGTAAGATGTGTCTGAAGCTGCTGTTCCTGTCGAGCTTCGGTTGACTCTTTGTCCGCTTGATGGACCCCTTCAGGCGGCGGCTCAGGAATCCCTACCGCGGGGAGAGCAACACACAGCACAGCCCGTCACACACTGCCGCCCCCCTCCCTCCCTGCCCCCTCACTGCCCCCTCACACTCCCCACTCCCTCCCTGCCCCCTCACACTCCCTCACTGCCCCCTCACACTCCCCCACTCCCTCACACTCCCCCACTCCCTCACTGCCCCCTCACACTCACACTCCCCCACTCCCTCACTGCCCCCTCACACTCACTCCCTCCCTCCCTCACACTCCCTCCCTCCCTCACACCCCCTCCCTCACTCACTGCTGGACGGACAAGAGGCTGCGAGAGAGAAAGCGGTGGCAGAGCTCTCTCTCCTCTCACATACACTCCCCGTCTCTCCCTCTCTCTCACACACACACCCCCCCCCCCAGCTCCCCCCCCCCCACCCAGCACCAGCTCCCACCCCTCCCACCCCCCCAGCGCCAGCTCCCCCCCCCCAGCGCCAGCTCCCCCCCCCCAGCTCCCCCCCCAGCTCCCCCCCCCCCAGCACCAGCTCCCACCCCCCCCCAGCACCAGCTCCCACCCCCCCCCCAGCGCCAGCTCCCCCCCAGCGCCAGCTCCCCCCCAGCGCCAACTCCCACCCCACCCACCCCCCCAACGCCAGCTCCCCCCCACCCCCCCCCCAGCGCCAGCTCCCACCCCACCCACCCCCCCCAACGCCAGCTCCCCCCCACCCCCCCCCCCAGCGCCAGCTCCCACCCCACCCACCCCCCCAACGCCAGCTCCCACCCCCCCCCCAGCGCCAGCTCCCACCCCACCCACCCCCCCCAACGCCAGCTCCCACCCCCACCCCCCAGCGCCAGCTCCCACCCCACCCACCCCCCCCAACGCCAGCTCCCACCCCCCCCCCCCAGCGCCAGCTCCCACCCCACCCACCCCCCCCAACGCCAGCTCCCACCCCCCCCCCCAGCGCCAGCTCCCCCACCCACCCCCCCCAGCCCCAGCTCCCACCCCACCCACCCCCCCCCCAACGCCAGCTCCCACCCCCCCCCCAGCGCCAGCTCCCACCCCCCACCAGCGCCAGCTCCCACCCCCCCCCAGCGCCAGCTCCCACCCCCCACCAGCGCCAGCTCCCACCCCCACCCCAGCGCCAGCTCCCACCCCCCCCCCAGCGCCAGCTCCCACCCCCCACCAGCGCCAGCTCCCACCCCCCCCAGCGCCAGCTCCCACCCCCCACCAGCGCCAGCTCCCACCCCCACCCCAGCGCCAGCTCCCACCCCCACCCCAGCGCCAGCTCCAACCCCAGCTCCCACCCCCCCCCAGCTCCCACCCCACCCCCCCACCCCCCCATTCCCTGTCGCCTTAGCGACCGACCATCCGCTCTCAGACCAAGACCGACACCACACATGTTGCGGCTGATAAAAAACAAGGCGCCCTCCAATTAAAACTACTGGGGGCTATTTTTTGGGGGGGGGGTTTTGGGGGGGGGGTGTGGAGGGCTCTGATATTAATAATCATCCTTGAATTCGACGTAGTGTCTTATCACATCTTCGAGACGTCTCAAAGCGCTTCACAGGTACATACTGTAAAAGCGGACGGGCTGTGTATGCCTTCCATCACCTCCGGAATATCGCCAGATTACGGCACTACCTCACCCCTCACGCGGCTGAAACCCTGGTTCACGCCTTTGTCACCTCAAGGCTGGACTATGGGAACTCTCTCCTCGCCGGCCTTCCCGCCACCTCCCTCCACAAGCTGCAGGTCATTCAGAACTCTGCAGCTCGTGTACTGTCCCGCACCAGGCTTCGGGACCACATCACTCCCACCCTCGCTCGCCTCCACTGGCTCCCCATCCCCCAGAGGATTGATTTCAAGATCCTCATCCTCACCTACAAGGCCATTCACGGCCTTGCTCCCTCCTACCTCTCCAACCTACTATCCCCCTACCTACCTGCCCGTAACCTCCGTTCCTCTGGCTCCGGTCTGCTCCACGTCCCCCGCCCCAACCGCCCTACTATCGGTGGTCGGGCCTTCAGCCTCTCAGCCCCGAGGCTCTGGAACTCCATCCCCCAGTGCCTTCGCCGCTTCCTCCCTTTCCTCCTTCAAGGCCGGTCTCAAAACCTTTCTCTTTGACCGTGCCTTCAGCTCCCCTCTCGACTCTCTTCCTCCTCCTCGCTCCCTCCCTTCCCTCCCTCACCCTGACCATTTCCCCCCTCCTCTCTCCCTCCCTTCCCTCCCCTCACCCTGACCATTTCCCCCTGCTCGGGTCATGACCCAACTGTGCAGCGCCTTGGGACGTCCTCCTGACGTGAAAGGCGCTCTATAAATGGAATCTTGTTGTTGTTGTTGTTGTTTGTGCCCTCCGTTCCACCATTGGTGGCCGCGCTTTCAGTCACCGTGGCACGAAGCTCTGGAACACTCTTCCTCTATCCCTCCGCCTCACCCCATCCTTCCGCGTCTTCAGGTCACGCCAGAAGACCTTCCCCTTTGACCGTGTCTGCGGTCACCTCCCCCCCCCCCCCCCTCGGGGCGTGCTCCGCCACTGCTAAGCGCACCGGGACGCTACCCTGTGTGAGGGGCGCTGTGTAAATGCAATATGTTGTTGTTGTGCCTCTTCACATCTTTGAGACGTCACCAGAATATACAGTAAAGTGAATTGATTTGTATATTTTGTGGGTGAAACAACCGCCGTCTCTTTGCATTTTTGGTTTATCGGGTCAGCACCAGGGACTTGGGGAAACGCAGACCGATCTGTGCTGCTCTGGTCACAAATCAACCCCAAGCCATGACCAGGGACCCAGTGTCTAAAATATTATCTGACTGCCTGCACAATGCTTGGAACGTGTCCTTTTTTAACTATACAAATTGAACGCTGGAGACGTGCGTCTGCTGAAAAGATGATCTTTAAGCATCAGTACACAATAGGTGAAATGCTAAATTGTCCATGAAATGAAAACAATGTAAACCGCTCAAAAGGAATATTGCAGCAAGTGTCGCTCACACCTTACTGTTGTTTGGTCAGCCGGGTGTCTGACGCACACGGATAGATACCCAGCCACATGCTTATCAGTCAAGTCTCCAAACCAGATGGAGAGTCCCACATAAGCCACCAACACATGGAAATTTCCTCGTCTGGAATGGAAATGAGTACTTTCACAATGGAGAGACCTTAATAATAATAACTGCATTTGATATAACGCCTTATCATGTCTTCTCGATGTCTCAAAGCGCTTCACAGAATATACCGTAAAGTGAATTGACTGGATATTTTGCGGGCGAAACGCAGCATGCAATTGCGCGCAGCAGTGTCTCACAAACAGTCATGACCAAATTATTATTACTTTTTTGGGGCGGGATTATTACTCCCGGAAAAGCAATCCGCCAATCAACTGACAACCGAGTTCCTAGTTACTGCTAGGTAAACATAGGCGTTTGGAGTAAGGAAACTTGCCCAACGTTTTGCCCTGCCCGGGGATCGAACCCAGGTCCTTTTGCTTGCGAGGAGAGTGCTCCAACCACTAAGCTACAGAACTCCACTCCAGAAAGTATTAGGCGAAGGTTGGCAACAGCCAAGGCTTGGGAACCCCCAGTGTGTGTGTGTCTGCTGGAGTTTAATCAGTTCCTAATCAGTTAATGGTTAAAAAACCCAGCTTCCAGCCTGTAGAATAAGGGAGTTTGACAGATGGCAACGTGTACACAGGTAGTTTCATATTTAGCACCAATCAGTAGGCTGTGAAAAGATGTGTTATAAAACGTGTGGAAAGCCCCTGTCAACCTTTTGAGATCAATTTTTGGGGAAAAAAATAGAGAATTCTAGAACATTCACCTGCCTTGAAGATGCCGACTTGTGTTGGGAAACGTTTCCAGGCCACTGGGAGTCCTCTGACACCATGTCCATTTAACAGGCCATTTAACACATCGAGAGTAGGCAGAGAGCATCATAGCCAAGCCCAAGCCCCCATCCAGCCCTCAACCAGGTTCCACACACAACAACTCGCGTTAGTTATAACATGGTAGCGTCTCAGAGTGCTTGACAGTGGCAGAGCACGACACCTTATCATTTGGCAGGGAAGGGGGAGGGCCTCTGGTTGGAGATTAGCAACAGGAACCAGGGCTCATTATTGTCCCAATTATAGTCCCTATCGTCTAGTGGTGCAGCCCCTACAAGTTAGAATGGGTTGGTGGGTGCTGTATTTGGGGGAAGGTATTTTTTGATCTTAGTAGCTATTGGAGACAGGAATGTATTTTGCCATCCACTATACTGTGCAATGAATTCTACATATGCATTTTGGCTCGGTTGATATTCCATGTGCTTCACCACCAGATCCTGTTACCTCTGCAGCGCATCAGCAGAAATATTGCATAGAATATTAAATATTATATTTTTTGATCTCTTGGGTGTGTACCACCTTCAGCAGCCTTTAACATTTCTGGCCAAACATTCGAAATTGCAAACATCTACATAATCCCGTTTTTAAGAAATGATTGCTCTGTGAGCAGAAATAAAAGCAGCAAATTTTTAATTCAAGACCCAATGTCGATGTTGAATTCGCCAAGTGACCTTCATGAAAACTACATTTAGTTTCCCCCGCCCCCACCCCCACCCACCTCCTCTGTGCCATCAAGGGAGTTTCATGAATTCACAATGAATTAACCATAAAATCACAGGTACAAACTGATTTCAGAAGTCACCGCATGAATAATCAAACACCGCCCTTAAACTAATATTGGTTTGGCGGGTGTTGAAAGAATTGAACGGTATAATCAATAAACTATATTCCGTGTCATCAAAAGCTGTCAATTGGAACGAGTGAACACTTTGGGCAAAACTATTAGTGTTTGCGACAGAGAATTTATAGAGTGGCGCTCGGATATGCTGCCAGTGAAACCCACACGCTGGCAGGTCTGTAGTTTCGGGAGGTAGGGATATTGAGTTGCTTTTTACTTAGTCTTTTGTTTCTGTTCAGTAAGCTGTGAGGCCACAATCAGAGCGCTTCCCAGTGCATTAGTTAATGAGAGCACCAAGCAATTCACTTCAAGCTTCAAAGA